GTTTTCTTGCAGCGTATGCGTGAATACTATGACATTGCTTTTCCATTGCAACAAGCTTATCACAGAAACAAAAAAGCAAGAAAGCCATGGGTAGATGAAAATTTGTATAAACGTATAAAACATAAGAATTCAATATTTCACAAGTTTCTTAGAAATTGCGATCCAGAAGTGCTAAAGGAATATAAGAAATATAAAACAGCGATACTAAAGGGGCAAAAGACGCGTACTTCGAGGAACTTTTCTATCGGCTGCGAAATCAACCAAAAAAACTGTGGGAAGCAGTTAACAATCTAGCAGGAAGGACAAAAAGTGACCAATCCCACACAGCCCTGACGACAGCAAAAAACATAAAACTAGTTGACGATATGAACAGACATTTTATGAAAGCGAGGCTTATCCACCTGGTGCAGAAAGCAGTAGAAATAATAATGAAGTTATAACCGAGGTCAGTGAAACTATTTTCTTGAGACCAACAGATCCCGACAAAGTAGTAGCAGTAATAAAAAAGCTAAAACGAAATGTAGCTGCGGGTATAGACAGAATACTTAAAATGCAGTAATACATTTTGCGCATGAGATTAGCGAAGTGCTAGCATATTTACTAAATTTAACATTAACTGGTGAATTTCCCGGAAGAATTGAAAATAGCCCGAGTTACGCCAATACACAAAGGGGGGGGGGGGATAATGGACAATTCAGTAATAACAGACCAATATCTATCTTAACAGTGTTTTCAAAGATTTTCGAAGATATAATTTACGTCCGATTATTTACATTTTTTAACGCACGCAAGGTAACTACAAAAAGACAATATGGCTTCCAAAAGAATAAATCCACTGAACAAGCACTCTTGTACATCAAAGATAAAATAATAATTATTATTGAAGGCAAAAACTATACGCTTGGTCTATCTTTAGATCTGAAGGAGGCATTTGATTCTATAGATCACAAAATTTTGTTACAGAAGTCAGAGAAGTACGAAATTAGGGGTGTTGCAAGTCGGTTGCTGGTAAGCTATTTAAATAATCATCAACAGTTCGTATGTATGCAGGATGTTTCGTCTAGTTATCTAACGCTTGAACGAGGCGTCCCTCAGGACTCTAAGCTAGGTCCGTTATTATTCATAATTTTCGTAAATGATATAGTTAATATACCTGATTCCCCAGAATTAATAATGTACGCCAACGACACCAATCTATTCTTTAAATCACGGGACCTGAATGAATTAGAACACAGTGTGAATCACTACCTTGTATCACTAGCTTGCTGGATGAATCAAAATAAATTGCAATTAAATGCTGAAAAAACAAAATACATGATATTCAGGTCGTGCAATACACCCATCGATAAGGAAATAACCATTACTTATGCAGGAATGAAACTGCAGCAAGTGACATACCAGAAGTTTCTTGGAGTGACGTTTAATGAATAGTTAAGCTGGAACGCGCATATTAGCCAACTATGTGTAGTCTTATCAAAAAGCATTGGTATTATGTACAGAATTTCTAATCTGATTCCCCTATGGCTTAGGAGACACTAGGAGACGAAGGCTCTCTAGAACCCGGTGCCAGAATGATTCCCCCTATTTCTTCTTCGCGCATCTCACGTTGCCGTCACAAAGATGCTAGCGTGCAAACAGTTCCTGTAAAACCGAGCCTGTCGACGCCACTCAGCACGGAAGATCTTGCACAGCCTTCCGCCATGGCTTGATGATGGAGGAAAACACCCAAGCATAGCCGTTTAAAATCGCCAGGGGGAGTATGTTGGAACAAAGGCAGAAAGAAAAAGCCAGAGCTTGAAGCTCAGCATAGGCAGCGTAGGAAACCTAGGAACACAAATCTGAAGGAGCAACAGTAGAAAGGCCCAAGGTACTAGAAATGCACTTCCAAAGGGAGAAGGCTTGGGCATGTTGGTTATTCATAGTTCTTCATAAAAAAGAGCGCACAAAACATGGTACAGAAGCAGGTCAGGACAAGCGCTCACTATCAACTGAAATTTTCATTGCGGAATGAGAGCATATATACACCCATCGAGACCGCAAAAAAGAGAAAGAAAGACAAAAAGGAAAAATACCACAATGACACAAAAGGACACATGTCTATGCCAAAAGTTCATGCTCTTTAACAGATAACAGGATAGATGAAATACTAACACACCTAATACCTGCCCTCGCTATCTCTGCCGCCTCTACGATTTCTCTGGTCATTTTTTTTCTTCGTGCTGATACAGAACAACTGTCTGACTGAACAGGGGAACACACTGTGGCTTTGCCTCACACTTTTCACAACAGGCGGCAAGGTGTCTGTCAATTGCAGTGTTCCTGATTTTGTTGTTATGCTCATGATCACGAACGTTGAGGCATCTGCCTGTTTGACATATGCAACATCTGTCACATGTAACACCAATTGAATGTAACACCAACTGTAACACCGATTGGATGTAACACCAATGGACGGACACCTTGCCACCCATTGTATTAATTGTGACGCAAAGCCACAGTGTGTTCCCCTGTTCAGTCAAACAGTTTTTCTGTACCGGCACAGGGAAAAAACGACTAGATAAATCGCAGAGGTGGCAGAGATAGCAAGGGCAGGTAACAGGTGTGTAAGTATTTTGTCTATCCTGTTATCTGTTAAAGAGCGTAAACTTTTGGCATAGCCATGTGTCCTTTTTTGTCATTCTAGTATTTTTTCCTTTTTGTCTTTCTTTCTTTCTGTTTATTAAGGTCTCGATGGGTGTATATATGCTCAGATTCCGCAATGAAAATTTCAGTTGATGTGAGCGCTTGTCCTGACTTCTTTCTGTCCCGTGTTTTGTGCCCTTTGTTTTATGAAGATCTATACAGGTAACCTTGTGCATATCCACATAAGCAGTGCACAAATGCAACGCGAGAATCTCGACTGAAATCATATTATGAATGGTCAAGGTTGATAATAGTACGACAAGAAAGCCACCACAAGCGAAAGCGCGGCAGACGGTCACAGAACGCCGCCATAGCAGACGATGCATGCGCTGAGAGGAGCGCAAGATTAGAGTTATTGTATGTGCGTCCTATAGGTAGCACAGTTGCGCCACTGTTTTCCGGCCGCCGCTCGCTCCACCTGCAGGAGTTCAGCATCCCTATTCGTCGAGCGCCATCACGTGGTCATAGGTGGTTTATTTGTACTGCGGAGAAGCCAACACTACGCAGATGACGCTGATGCTTCACATATTCCGGTTAGATCAAGCATGGCGTACATCAACGTGCCAAAGAAGCATGTGATGCATTGTACTCACAAATGGCTGTCTAAGCATGTAGCAGATTGTATGCAGTTATTCGCGGCCGTCATTTGAAACACTGGCCGTACCGGACTATATACTTCGCGGAGGGGTAGTACATGTGCAACAGCCTTGCCCCCAAAACTTTCCTTTCATTGCCAAAAATAGTTGACCACGAGTATAGTGACAGGACACCGTACATGTTGTTCCCCAAATAGTCATGCCCTTATTCGCCGCATAACTGCAAGTGCTAATATCATAACTGACATTAAAAAAACTGCTGGCAGTCATTTGTAGCTGTGTAGGACATTTCTGCAACTCTAAGAAACAATAAACAAAAATGTATGACGCCTTTTTCACCACCCTCCCTAGTTACTACTTTAGGAATTTCCCGAATTTTAAGTCTCCAGCTTGGCATATGCAGACGTGAACTTGCCAAGTCTGTCAAGGGATTTTAGAGGCGCTGCAAATGCTAACGTGGACTTTGTCATCGCTTGCACTGCAGCGTGCTCATGAGCACTACGCACTATAATGTTCAATGGTTTGTGCATATCTTTGTTTTATAGAAATAAGCCTTCTTTGTTATACAGCTAAAATATGGGATTTTGTGGAAAAAAATAGGCGATCATTCAGCGAACTGGAAGCCCGGTGGAAGACACACTACTTGCTTCTTAAGTGCGCGTATTTCTGTGCCCCCCCCCCCCCCCCCGTTTGCTGAAGGAAAATTCAACTACCAACTATCCCACCTTTCTGTCAATTCGGAGCAATAACCTGCTCCGAATTGCATTTTTGTACTTCAAAAGCAACATTTTGCTACTTTAAAAACTGTCCGAAATCCCATTTCAGCTATTGTACCACAGCATGTATCAGACTGAAATAGACAAGCAGTGTTTGATTATGTGCTGTAATGGTTTCATTACTAGCGATTAATTATAATCGAGACTCTTGACCCATCATCAGGATCATTTCAGAATACCCCCTGGTAGCACATGTAATTTTCTGAGTTAGTGAAGCACTGCTGTTGATAATTTTGACTTTCAAACGTTCCCAAATATTTATATTTTACTGACATAAATTGATATTGCCTTTGGTGTGCATTCGCTTTAATGTCCACTCTATCATACTGCCACAAGTTAGACATTCGCAGAAGACGTGTGTAGAGTACAGCATTTGTAAAAGCTGCTGCATAAGTGGCAAGGAAAGCACACCATGTAACATGCCACCATGTTGCGCCACGAGACCGGCATGATACTTCAGGATTGGAGAAGAGGCTGATGAAGTTCGAAGTAACTAGCAAGAAATTGTCTAGCTGACAATATATTTAATTTAGTTTTTGAGTTTACGAGCACAAGTTCACCCTAACTAAATATTTTAAAAAGTAGTAGGTACTTCATTTATTGGTAACAATATACAACCCTTGGCTTATAACATTGCATTTTTCATCAAGCTTTTCGCATGAGACACTCTAGCACACCTCCTTGTGCAGTGCAAAGCAAGTCAGGTGCGAACCCAAACCTCCTCAGTGATGCCTGGGAAATGCTAGATTTTCATTTGCAAGCATTTCTACGATAAATGTTCTTTCCCTCTCGGAGCCAGCACTGTATTGAAGGGTGGTCTGGGAGAGAGCTTTGCTCGTTAAACAGCCGCACGAGCAATGTCATTGCAACTGTTCAAAAGCTTTGCATTTACCGCTCGTTGGCTCGTATTCTAGCATCGAGAGTTTTGAGGCACCAGACCAGCATCTCAGTGCATACACAAGTTTATTTTCTGATTCGACAAATGGTAGCACACAAACATGGTGAGTTGGCTTGGGAGAATAAGACTCATGTCTTCAAGCAGCTAATAGCTGAATTCATTCAAAACTATACGTTACTTCAAGATATTTACCAAGTTTATTTCTCAACAGAAAATACCAATTTACTTATGCCTTGGCCTCTTTAAACAAGTGATGTTTGCAACTTGACAGTTCTGTTCATTCAAGTATGCCAACACATAGGTGACAGATTATTTTCCATCATGGCTGAGGGGTGCATTGGAGAAATTCAAAATAAAAAACTTGTATTTTTTTCAAAAACAGCACTAGTAACAGAGTCACAACAGATAATTGGGGACATATAACAGTCGGCGTTGCAGCACAGTATGATAAGCAATGCACTTTTTTCTTTTTCTAAAAACAGAGCCCACCACGAGTGGGCTACTAATGTCCGGAGCAGTCACGCGGCGGAAGCCCAGCCAGCGGCAGCAGTCAGGCCTCGACCGCCAGCGGCGTTGTGTTGCCGGAGCTGCTCGGGCTGGCCGCGTCCTCAGGGGGGCCCGGTGAACTGGCCGGCTGCTTGCGCGAGTAGGGCAGCATGTCCGGTGGCACGTGGTGCATCTGCACACTCGGTGCGTGCACCAGGCACTTGAGGTTCTCGGCCACGGCGCGCACGATGGCCTCCAGGTACTGCTTGCTGTTGGCGTTCTCCTGCATCATGGGGGTGTGCACGCAGTGGTCTGCAAATACTTCCATCATTCCTTCCTCACCTGCACTGGCCATTACAGGTTCTATATCGCCTGGACATGACAAGGTCATTCGTAGGTTTGTGCGAATAGTAACTACTTTTAGTTCAAAGGGAATTTAAAGCGATATAATTTTGAATAGTACGTATCAGATATTAAAAAAAAGGCATATAACTAACCTGCAGAACATCTTTTTTTTAAACTGAGACAAGGCATGCTCACAGGTCATTCTAATCAGGTATTTCAGTAGAATGCAGTTGTTTATGTTATGTTCTAAAATCTACAACAATTGGAGCATACAATCCACTATAACAAGCTTCTAAACTTAGAAAGTGGTGCATCGATCTCGGGGTAATGTGTTGTTCCAACCTCGAAGCTTCACAATGTGCTTACAAAGTGCCAATAATTTAAATTTGAATCAAAGCAAATACAAATACTTAAATATTCATTTGAATATCCGAGGCATTCAAATATTGACGCAAACCTGGTCTGCTTAAAAACGAACACTACTAAACAATCATGACGGACAAATTCAACTCAAGAAAAAGGACTTGAGTGCACTCGTTTCTTATTCTGGTGGTTCAGAACGTGTCGACATCTATTTTCTTTATTCCGGGAAGTGTGAAGGGGGCTCTCCTTGGTCAGGCACACCATCGAAACGACCAAAGGCGTGCTCAACTTCACTTATGCACACAGACCTCCTTCAGCAGGGCGGCCTCTCTATTGAAGCACGCACAGCTGAGCTATGCCTTCCTTTCAGTGTAGCAACCGTAAAACCATACAATGAATCTACAACGTATCCTCTTGATGCGGCAGGTTCTTTATGCAAGCTGATACTTTCGCACCTTGAATACCAGCTTCACTGAGCATAAGAGTGCGCAGGGTTCGCTTCTAAGGGGGGTGGAGGTTTGTCGCAGCACAACCCTCAGGTCAATGTATGGAGCAAACTTTGCACTACCCCCTTTAGATGAGCATGTGCTCGCGCCTATGAGTAGAGGCTCTGTAACATCAAACTATTCTGTTGTACTTCTATTCAGATCTGCCAGACGTCGTGCTTACATCACTGGTGACACCAGCTTGCCTGAGAATCAGAAACATTTATGAGAATGGCAATCACATACAAAAAAGCTTACAGAAAAAATTTTTACGGAAGTCCGAGAGCATTGCTAGCTCTAGCTCACCAGCTGGCAACTGTGGCGGGTGAGCACAAAAAGTGCGGCGCGTTTCAGTAGAGCTAAACTCCGAGAGCTGAAGTGGAACAACAATGGACAAACGTTCCGCAGGTGTTTTAATCTACTTCACCTTGCTTATCAAGTGATGACTAAAAAAAAGCAGCAGCTAGTGGTGCGGCGTTAAATAAGAACATTTCTTCAGCATTGGTAATGGCAGCCATCAAACGATCCATCTATCTTCATACCAGAGAATAGAAAGCGACATGAAAAGTGTTCAGATGGCCCTTTCTCATTTGTGCTGTCGTAGCCATGGCTATGTACTGTTGTGGTTGACCATGCTGCACTGACACTTATTACTTGGCGGGGGCATTGAAACGAATCAATAAATCAATGAAACCGCCTATCAAATATTGACAAGAAATTATACTTGCTCACAAGGATAGTGAAATCTAGCCAGGAACAAATAGCAAATATTAATAGGGTAATCAAATCTATGCGAAGAGAAAATAGACAATTTAGAGAATTGAAGCAGGCAAACTACCCTGATAATATATGGCTGTTCGGAGACTGAAGGAGAGACGCCATTGTCGTTTGAACATGCCATGAACAAAAACATCACACAACACACCCTCGAATCAACAGTCAAATGTATACACTGCATTTGCAATGTATGCATTTACACTGATAGGCTGGGAGAGTCTACGATTGTACAGTGCTATTTACACTACCAATTTACACTGCTACACTGGTAGAGCTGAACTAAAGCAATTCAGAACTGTAATTAGAAAGCTCCTAGACTTGAGACAGAAATCATCAATACTAAAATGCAGACTTTGAGACACAGGCCTATCTATTGGAGAAGACTTTTCGAGACAAGCACCTGACTTTCAAAGGAAACTTCAGCACAGTGCAAAGGCAAACCGAGAAAATAACGAAAAGGTTTCTTTAGTTTTTGAGAAGCTCTGTATGAATAATTACACCTATGTTTGCACCAGTGAACAAGATGACAAGGTTAAAGAAAAAGCTCGTAGAAGATGGTGCACATGCAGTGAAAGCGACAAAGGTACCCCAAAGACAAAGAGCTCCTACTCGGCGCGCTGTAAAACCGTCATGCCAACCCTCCTCACGGTGAATGCTCGAAGCATGATTAAGCCTGAACCACTTGAAAATCTTATCATTAATCATGAAGCTCACTTAACAGTCGTCACCGAAACGCCTGATGTTTTGAATCATAAGTTCACACTGCCCAGTTATTCAGTGACCTGGAAAGACCGCCCCACACGTGATGGTGGCATGACAATATTGACCGAAAAAGCTTTTTTTGGGGGGCCCTTCCAGAGGCATAACATCCTGAAGCAATTTTCGTAAGGTAGTTAATTTGTGATGGTACCAACATATACATAGGTCATTTTGTCAGAGCCCAAATTTGGGTGATAATTCTATCAGAGTGATTAATTATAACATGCTACATTGTGGGCTTGCTCAACGTGTTGTACACATGGGTGATTTTAATCTTCCAGACATTAAAGAAATAGTGAACAAGAATTGAAAGTTTGACTCGAAAGATGCCACACTTCCGATAAAATGAGTTTATTTTTCATATTTTTAAACAGTTGGTTGTATTTTTGTCAGCACACAGCGGTTGCTCGGGAGCGCTAGCCATGCCGTCAAACTCACCGAGGCACATGCAGGATGCACATGTTCTTCTCCACCTCTCCTCTCATCCCACTCTTTCCCTTTCACAAAAGCACTGGTGCTTTGTCCCAGCCCGAAGCATTGGTTGCTGCTCTTGCTGTTCATACTGCTTTTGGGAATCGAAGTGGGAGATGAGCGAGCCAAAAGACGCGGGCGACAGCTGGCATTGTTGAATTGTCTGCTCCGGGTGTGCGTGATTTCACCAAACGTCACCGTCTCTAGCTCGCGACGCGGCGGATAGATGCAGCATTTTGTGAAAAACACATAAAATTCATTATTTTCCCACAGTTTCTGAGGGCGCGCTGGTCGCCAAAGAGAGCGGACGCGCATCACGTCGGCTCCGTCTGCCAAGAACTATTTGCCAGTGATTTTCGGTCATTCAGCCCATGAATTTTACAACAACGCGTGCGGAAAGTGACCAGGACTCCACTGACACCGAAATTCAAGGTGGGAAAAGACTTTTTGCCGGATTTGAGAGGTTTTCAACCCGCGCCCCTTTGGCCCGACGCTCACGAAAGCCGGCCACCCGACGAGACGCGCTGAGCGTCTCCTCTGACGCGGGCGCTTTCTTCGCCCAACAACGATGGAAGTCCAAGTGAACGGGGAGGATATCTCCCCCGAAGAGTTTCTGGAGGGCACGGATTGGTGCACCATCGGATCTAAGACCCAAGTTAACCGCGCAAACGCGCAGAGCAACACCCAGAACGGAGCCCCCTCCTGCACCGGCGAGGTAGCGGACTTCAACCGGCAGCGTTCGCGTCGACAACCGCGTAACATCAAGCAGCAAGTCATTAGAAAGAGCAAAATACCACTACTCCCACGAAGCGATTTCAAGATCGTGATACGACCACGAGGAGGCCTCGACGTGGCCACCACTGGAACCGTGCGCCTCGCATCGGCGATTTACCGCGCGGCCAACGTACCGGCTCATGAAGCAGGGGAGGACACGGTGTGTTCCAACAACCATCAAAAACATCATCGTCGCGAGCACACCACATGCCTCTCACGCCGATAAGTACAGACAGCTTGAAGCCATCACCATCGGCGACCGCCACCACGAGGTTAGTGCGTACGAGACGGCCCCCGACAACACGGTGAAGGGAATAATCAAGGGCATCCCGTTGGAAGAAGATGCCAAGTCCATTCATACCAGCATCGTTCACGCACGTAACCCTTACGCCCTGGCAGCCAAACGGCTCAGTAACACCACGACCGTCATAGTGGCGTTTGAAGGATCGCGAGTGCCCCCTTACGTCAATTATGGCGGCGCTCTCCTTCGCTGCACCTTGTATCGCAAGCAAATCGACATGTGTCACTGCTGCGGGAGACTTGGTCACCGCATGGACGTGTGCCCAAAGCCCAAGGACAAAGTGTGTCGTGGTTGTGAGGCCCCTAACCCAGGCCCCAACCACCAGTGTTCCCCCCATTGCAAGCTGTGCGGGGGCGCACACATGACGGCAGACCGCAACTGCCGTGCAAGGTACAAAACGCCCTACATCGTGACGAAGAGACAGTGGGAACGACGCAGGGCCAACGAGGAGGCAGAGGCCACTGCCACCAACTATTCCACCAGCAAGCCCCGCTCAAGATCCAGGACACCCAGTCGAAGCCACTCCCGATCTCGTAGCCGCACACCGGGACCCCGAAAGCAGCAGCAACGCCGAGCTCGCAGCCGAACACCTGGACGGACCCCAACGAGGGACGCGAAGACAACTGATTCGGTGGGCTTTGCAGATGCGGTCAAAGGAAAACGCGCAACAAACGCAGAGGCTGGCGGCAAAATACACACTAAGATAGAGGCGGAGATAGCTCAGTTAACACAGACGATACAAACTATGCAAAAACAAATTGAATGCATGCAGGCACAGATTCACGCAAAGGACGAACTCATACAAAAGCTCCAGTCTGCCGCTCACAGCGAGACTGATCAACAGGCATTGCAGGAAACACAAGAAGAACTCGTAGAGGACGGTGAGGTCGAAGGCCCTGATACTAAACGCGGGCTGGCTATCTCCCTTAAAAAGTCAGTACGTTCCAAGCGTACGCGCGCAGCAACAGACGACACCCGAGTGAAGGCACTCGAGGCTCGCGTGAGCAG